ACTTACAGCTCGTCCTTCTAGGGCAGCTAGACACGACCATCACACTTACAGGTCGTCTCTCAAAATTAATCAAACGCGACCATCACACTTACAGGTCGTCTCTCAATTAAGCGAACATCACACTTACACGTCTCTCTAATTATACACGTCACACTTACAGGTCGTCCTTCTACGGCAGCGAGACACGACCATCACCCACACAGGTCATTCAAGCCACCCCTCCGAGACAGCTGAACCCGACCCACGACCCACGACCCACTCACAGAAAATCTTAGAAAGTTTACCGTAGACAAGGTCGTGTTTACAGCCTCTGTCTCGAAACCCATCTTATCTTCCCTGCCCCTTCGTCCGCGTCCATTAACCCGCACCCACACACCCACGTACCCAACCAAATACCCACATACCCACGTACCCAACCAAATACCCACATACCCACCGGAGTCTGCGCACGTTCACATACGGCTTTATATTTATCGTTTACGTCACAGTTAATGTCTGAGTATGCCTTACCCACACACTTGCCCAGATACCCACATCCCCATTTACATACGTATACGCTTTTCCACATAAACCCACATCCATATCCCTATATCCACATAACCAAGCGTCCACTTAAATATCCCTATACCTACATGCCTATTAGGATACCTCCCCCAACCCACAAACCCATCTATCCACATACCCACAAACCCACACGGCCCCACATTCACCAACCCACAAACCTCCACACAGCCGCATATCCATCCACATACCCACAAACCCACAAAACCCCACACTCACCAACCCACAAACCCCCACACAGCCGCATATCCATCCACATACCCACAAACCCACCCGGCCCACCATTCACAACCCACAAACCCCACACAGCCGCATATCCATCAATACCCACAAACCCACACGGCCCCACATTCACCAACCCACAAACCCCACACAACCGCAATCCATCCACATACCCACAAACCCACAAGCCCCACACTCACCAACCCACAAACCCCACACAACCGCATATCCATCCACATACCACAAACCCACAAGGCCTACATTCACAACCCACAAACCCCACACAGCCGCATATCCATCCACATACCCACAAACCCACAAGGCCCACATTCACCAACCCACAAACCCCACACAACCGCAAATCCATCCACATACCCACAAACCCACAAAACCCCCATCACTCACCAACCCCCAAACTCCACACAGCCGCATATCCATCCACATACCCACAAGGCCCCACACTCACCAACCCCCAAACCTCCACACAGCCGCAAATCCACCCACAAACCCCACACTCACCTACCCACAACCCCCCACACAGGCCGCATATCCATCCACATTACCCACAAAAACCCACAAAACCCCACACTCACCAACCCACAAACCTCCACACAGCCGCATAACCATCCACATACCCACAAACCCACAAACCCCCACACAGCCGCATATCCATCCACATACCCACATACCCTATGCCCCCTTCGCCCAGTGTATGTCGCCTGATAACCACACCCGAAATACCCATCCCGTCGCTCGCAGAACAGGTAGACACCCTTCATCTTGTGGGTGGAGTCTCAGGGGGAGGGGGAGGGGGAGGGAGATGAGGGGGAAGGGGGAGGATGGGTGGGTGAGCCGGGAGGAAGAGGGAAGGTAGGCGAAGGGGAAAGGGAGGGAGGGAGGTAAGGAGGGAAGGGGGGATGGGTGAGACGGGAGGGATGTGAGGGGGGGAAGGGTGTAGGGAGTGAGTTGGGGGGGGGAAGGGGGGATGGGGGAGGAGGAGGTCGAAGGTAAGTTAGGGAGGCGCTCTCAGGGTGTACACTTAAAACAGATTAAGGGTGTGAAGGAATGGGGTATTTTCAGCGTCCGCATTCTGGAGGTTACGGAGGCGATTTGGGCATTTGGGCACCTTACACGACATGCGGGGAGGACATAACAAAGGGGGATAGATTCCACTTTAAAACCACACTTGAAACGGATCTCCAAGCAGACTCCACCATAAACTAAACCTAAAAATTATTTCTAAGTAGGTCCCAAAATCAGCCCCTTTAAATCTAAACCTCTAAACTTATTTCCAACACTTTAAAACTAAACCTAATACCTATTTCCAAGTGGATCCCCAAAATCGGACACTTAAACTAAACCTAAAACTTATCCCCAAGCAAACTTCACAACAGGACACTTTAAGACTAAACCTCAAACTTATCTCCAAGTACCTCCCAAAATAGGACACTTTAAAATGAAAATGAAGACATTTCCAAACGGTTTTACAAGCGTTTTTCAAGTAGGTTAAAAATGCATAGTGGTTGTATTTGTTGGAGGTTTAAGAGAGTTTAGAACAGCGAGAAATGTCTGCCATGGGGCGGGCAGAGGAGAGCAGCCCCTACCCACTCTGCCATGCCACTGGTGATGAAGAGAGGAATGGGCAGGGGAAGAGAGGGGGGAGGGGAGTGGGGAGGCAATTGGCAAATCCATACAGGTCAGAAGTAGCTCTCCCCACCTCCCGTCTCTCTCTCTCTCTATCTATATCTCTGCCTCTGCTTCTGTCTCTGTCTCTGTCTCTCTCTATCCCTCTCTCTCTCTCTCTTGCTCACTCCCTTTTTGATAAGTAACAAAATGTAAATACCACATTGACAACAATAATAATAATCATAACAAAATACCAACACTAAACAACCTTCCAAACCGACCAACAGCCACGAGAGCCCTACAGCCCCACAGCCCCACAGCCCCAGCCCCACAGCCCGGCAGCCCCGGCAGCCCTACAGCCCACAGCCCCGGCAGCCCCACAGCCCCACAGCCCCGGCAGCCGCGGCGGGGCCTCCCTCCCTCAGGCGGCGAGGCGTCGGAGGTGCATCCCGCAGCCGCCACGGGAGGCGGAGGCGGAGGCGGTGGGTGGTGGACGGCGGTGTCGCGGGGCCCCGGGGGTTGCCAAGTGTGCCATGTGCCACAAATACGGGCCACGGGAGCCGGTGTGTGTGCCACGCCTCTCCCTCCCTACTCTGCCTCCGACATGCCAAAGGTAGGGCTGGCCGACACCTGCCCTTCAGCACAAACTATTCCCCATGACGTTCGCCCCCTCCCTCCTTCTCTCTTCTCTCTCTCTGTGTTTGTCTCTTTCTCTCTGTCTGCCTTTGTCTGTCTCTCCTTGCTTCCCCAAGGGTTAAGACTGCTCACCCTCATTATTTCCACGCACCATACTTCCTCCTCACCCATGCGTGTGCCTCACCTTACCCACTCCCCTCCCACACCTTTTCTCCCCATGTGAAAAACACCTTAATCTCCCCGCCACACCCCAGTGCCCCTCTCCCTCGCTCAGCCCCCCCCCATCCATCGTTTCGCAACCTGGCCTCCCCGGCATGTCCCCCCCCCCTCCCCCGGCCCCAAATTTCTCCTTGTCACATATTAATAACTGTAGGTAACTGCGGCGCCCGCTTCGCTCAACGCATATTGGCACCTGTAACCGGCATCGGCAGAGAACCAGTCAGCAGTGGCTCAACGTTTATCAAAAATAGCCCAAAATTTCGCAACAAGAAACAAAACCCAAAGGCTAGCCCACGCAAACCAAGGACCGACAACCCACAATGATAAAAAAAAAAAAAAAAAAAAAACAAAAAAAAAAAAACACCAACAACGCCAAACCAAACCAGATACAACCGAAGCCATTTACCAGCAATACGAATCTGCAATCATTTTCCAGAACAAGACGCCGAGCTGCGAAGGGCGCACGTACACTCACTCCGCGGCGCCCTACGGGAATCGATGCAGGCTAGCGATGTGCAACAGATGCAAACATTTGCTTAATCTCTCGCCAAAGACGGCGCACGTAGTTTGCGAGCGGAGCCTGGGAGTCGAGTCCGTTTGACGACTAATATCTTTCGCTTGCAGAGGGAAATGTGTGTTTGGTTCCTCGTCTTCCTGATTTTCATTTCTCTCTCTCTACTTTCATTTTTCCTTGGTTCCTCGTCTTCCTGATTTTTCATTCCTCTTTCTTTCTTCATTCATTTTCCTTGGTTCCTCGTCTTCCTGATTTTCATTCCTCTTTCATTTTTCTTGGTTACTCGCCCTCCTGATTTTCATTCCTCTTTCTCTCTCTCTCTCGTCTTTCATTTTCCTTGGTTCCTCGTCCTCCCGATTTTCATTCCCTCTTCTGTCTCTCTCTCTTCTTTCATTTTTCCTTGGTTCCTCCGTCCCCCTGATTTTCATTCCTCTTCTCTCTCTCTTTCTTCTTTCATTTTTTGGTTCCCCGTCTCCTGATTTCATTCCTTTCTCTCTCTCTCTCTTTCCTTTTCCTTGGTTCCCGCCCTCTTGATTTTCATCTTCTCTCTCTCTCTTCTTTCACTTTTCCTTGGTTCCTCGCCCTCCTGATTTTCATCCCTCTTTCTCTCCCTCTCTTCTCGTCCTCCTGATTTTCATTCCTCTTTCTTTCTCTCTCTCTCTTCTTTCATTTTTCCTTGGTTCCTCGTCCTCCTGATTTTCATTTCTCTTCTCTCTCTCTCTCTCTCTTCTTCATTTTTCCTTGGTTCCTCGTCCTCCTGATTTTCATTCCTCTTTCTCTCCCTCTCTCTCTTCTTTCAATTTCCTTGGTTCCTCGTCCTCCTGATTTTCATTCCTCTTTCTTTTTCTCTCTTCTTTCACTTTTCCTTTAGTCTTATTGCTATTATTCTATTTCTAGTACACTCTACACCATCTGCTTATTCCTCTTTTACTTCTCTCTACCCATCTGCATCTTCTTCACCAACTTTACCTATTGCTTTTATTATCATTGCTGTTGCTTTATTTTTTTTTATCGTGTTGTGTGTGTCTCCCGCGATGCTGTTGTCTTTAATGATATCGCTACTAAAGTGTTCCCTTCATGCTGCTCCTCCTCCTCTTCTCTTCCTCTTTCTCTCTCCCACTCTCCTCTTCCTCTCTCTCTTCTCCCACTCCTCTTCCTCTCTCTCTCTCTCCCACTCCTCTTCCTCTCTCATCTCTCTCTTCTTCTCTTCCTTCCTCTCCTCTCTCTCTCTTTCTCCTCTCCTCTCTCTCTCTCTCTTCTCTCTCCCTCTCTCTCTCTTCTCTCCACTTCTCCTCTTCTTCTCCATCTCTCTTTCTCCTTTCTTCTTCTCTCTTCTCCACTCCTCTTCCTCTCTTTCTCTTCTCCTCCCTCTCCTCTCTTTCTCTTCTCACACTCTCCTCTCTCTCTCTTCCCCACTCCTCTTCCTCCCTCTCTCTTCTCACCACTCCTCTTCCTCTCTCTCTCTTCTCCCACTCCTCTTTCCTCTCTCTCTTCTCCGCACCCTCTTCCTCTCTCTCTTCCCCACTCCTCTCCTGTCTCTTCTCTTCCCACTCCTCTCCTCTCTCTCTCTTCTCTCCTCTCTCTCTCTCTTCTCCCACTCCTCTCCCTCCTCTCTCTTCTCTCTCTCCACCCCTCTTCCTTCCTCTCTCTTTCTCCCACTCCTCTTCCTCTCTTCTTCTCTCTCCCACTCCTCTTTCCTCTCTCTCTTCTCCCACTCCTCTTCCTCTCTCTCTCTCTTCTCCCACTCCTCTTCCTCCCTCTCCTCCACTCCTCTCCTCATCCTCTCTCTTCCTCCCACTCTCTCTCTCTCTCTCTCTCTTCTCCCACTCTCTCTCTCCTCTTCTCCCACTCCTCTTCCTCTCTTTCTCTCTCTCTTCTCCACTCCTCTTCCCTCTTCTCTCTCTCTCCCACTCCTCTTCCTCTCTCTCTCGTCACCCACTCCCTTCCTCTCTCTCTTCTCCCACTCCTCTTCCTCTCTTTCTCTCTCCTCCCACTCCTCTTCCTCTCTTCTCTCTCTTTCCCACCCTCTTCTCCTCTCTCCTCTCCTCTCTCTTTCTCCTCTGTCTTCCTCTCTCTCTCTCTCTTCTCCCACTCTCTCCTCCTCCACCTCCACCTTCGAGCCCACCAATAAGCGCTCGCCACCCGCCCTAATGTCATTAAAGCTCGTCACATTTATAATAACCGTCACATGAGATTGCAACCGCTTCGAGGGGTCACGCGATGCCAACGGACATGTGAACCCGCGCTGAGTGCAACCGCCAAGAGATGCGTCGTCGCCTGAGCTGTGTCACTCGCCTTAAAAACATCTCTCTCTTTCACCTTCGGCACGGGATGTGCTCTATGACGTTTGCTCCTCCCCGCCCCCCTTTCTTTTCTTTCTTCTTTCTTTCTTCCTCTTTCCTCTTTCTTTCTCTTTCTTGTCTTTCTTTCTTTCTCTTCTCTTCTTTTCTTCTTTCTCTCTCTTTCTGCTCTCTCGCTCTCTCTATTCTCACTTTGTGGTGTGTGTGTGTGTGTGTGTGTGTGTGTGTGTTGTGTGTGTGTGTGTGTGTGTGTGTGTGTGTGTGTGTGTGTGTGTGTGTGTGTGTGTGTGTGTGTGTGTGTGTGTGTGTGTGTGTTCTCGCTCGAGCTGTGTCACTCATTTTTTTCCACCTCACTTCCAGTCCTTCGTTAAATGACGAATACCGAGAGATGAACGAAAAAATATCGGAAAAATATATCAGTGCCAAAAAGAGTAACGAACGCAATAACGAGCAAAATAATCAGATGAAAATAAGCCTCTGGGACTGATAAATCCGCGAGGAGTCAAGGAAATATCCAAATAAACGGAAATAACCCTCAGAATAAATGAAAAATAAAGGAAATATAAAAAAAAAAAAAACGGAAAAAATAATCAACCCAAAACAACCCTCACGATAAATGAAAAATTACGTAAATATCCAAAAAAATAGAAAAAAAATATTCGAACCAAAATAAACCACAGAATAAACGAGAAATAAAAGGAAATATCCCCAAAAACCAAGATCCTTCATTAAAACTTCCCGCCCGGCACCTCAGCGGCGGCGGCGGCGGCGACCTCTGCGTTTTGAAATTAAATCCCTCTACAAACGGACCAAGGCGACCCAGCCGAGACTCTGCCCGTTGCTCGGTAACCGCGGAGCAGAACCACCCACTGATTCCTCCTTTCCACGCACCAAAAAATAAATTATATACGAATTCTATAAGTAAGATAATAATCAACACACCAAAATACACTGATTTCTCCTTTCCACGCACCAAAAAAAACAAAAAAACTTATATACGAATTCTATAAATAAGGTAATAATCAACACACCAAAAAATAAATATAAATCAATAAAAAAAGGGGAAAAGAAAAAAAAATCACACATCAAAGATATATACGAATCCTAAAAAATAATAAACAAACAACAAAAAATATAATAAAAATAAAAATAAACCCCCAAAAGGAAAGAAAACAAGGAGAAGCGAAGGAAGGCGCCGAGACCCCGCTTGAGCAGAAGGAGGTCAAAGAAGCAAGCAAAAGAGCGGCCGAGCGCAGGCACCTTCTCTCGGGTCGAGTCGAAGGGGCGCATCCCGACCCGACCCAACCCGACCCGACCCGCTACCGTCCGTGACTGTGTGCTGGCTGGCAAGCGCCGACTTCCTTCCACGGAACTCACTCACGCCGCAGCTCACTCGTCGTGGCTTCCGTGCACTCGGGTTTT